TCGCCGGACAGGTCGACGGGGCTTGTTGCCACGGCGGTCGACATGGCAGGGGCTTGCGGCGGCCTGCGTTTGAGGTGGTGGTGGTGTTAGGGGGGGCGCTCTCACGTTTTTCATGCCGTGTACTTGTAAGCCGCGCGTCCTCGAGAGGACGGAGCGTTGTTTTCGAAGGACCGATCGCCGATGGACAATCGTCCCGGGGAGGGGGTGTACTCATGTAAGCGCATGCGGTGGTCGGTAGACCGCAGACCTCGCACCCCTACAATGCCGGGACGGAGCGATATGTTTTCGCCGGCCGAGGCTTGTACGTTTCGCAAGCATGAGCCCGAAGCTCGTCACCATCCTTGCGTGTGCGTGTGCCATGGGTTGACCGGCCATCCCGGCTAACCAAACGTTTCGCATTCGGCAGGAACGAGTATAGGTGGCCGGATATAGCAGTGGCATATAGGGGCAAGAGGAGAAAATGGCACTTTTCAGGGCAGCGCCACTATTCGATATATCGGGTTCATGTACATTCGAGATTGTGAACCAAGAGATTTCGATGCCACTATTCACGCAGTTCCACCATTCAAGTTGCCACTATATCGGGCCACCTACTGTACTCCAAGCACGGCAAGGGACTTTCGACCTTTGCGCGCTCTTACAAAGCAGGCACGCCACACCCAGAGCACGGGGATGGGTGGGAAAATATTATGTGTAGGATGCAGCCGCGGTAACACTGCCGTGCAATCACTGATGGACTGCAGCCGTACCTACCACAGTCGAAGGGGATCTGTTGAAGTGTTTGCAGCAGTGAGTGGGGAAGAAAGTCTGCGGGATACTGGGGTTGTGTTGAGTCTGTTTGAAAACACAATAAACGTCCGAATAGAACCGAGAGAACCGAGTGTTGAAGTTCTCCGGAGATTGCGGCGTGTTGCCAAAACGACGTGGTTGTATTGTGTTGTGTGTTGCGAGTTTTGAGGTGACGCCATGGCTCGGCTTTGTCGTGATCGACACAACCGCACACAGGGCACTTCAGCCCGCAATGACAAGGCAACAGAAGCCGCAAGAACCGACATGTACAAATGCGGCTAGCTGGACATCAGAAGCCTTGTAGTGGAATGAGACCAGACCGCGGCGGGGAAAGAGCGTTGTCCGATTGGAAAGAGCGTTGTCCATCGCGCCCGCTGCAGCTAAATATGTAACTCTCAACTGCTGTGCATACTGTAGTTCTCCGACTCTATTTACTGCTCCAGAAATCCATGTGTCCTCAGCCAAGCCTTCGTCGGCCATGGGCGCGTAGCATGAGGCACTGCAGCACTAGGCACTGCTAGCAAACGTGACGTGATACCGTGATGTTCCCAGTGTGTCTCGCTCACCTTGAGCCCCATCCCCTCGTTCTCCTTGTCCCTGGCCCTCTCGCCGCATTTCGGCAGCCAGCCGTCGTTGATCTCGCGACTCCGAACCCATCACAGCCGTGGTGGAAGACAATTCCCAAGGCAATCAAGGCGGCCGAGCGTGTCATCATGATTCCACGGTACGAGTTGGTTGTGTGCATGATGTGAGTGGCTCAATCGCTCGCTACTCGCTATCATATATGCGGGCCAACAACGGGGGCTCCGTGTTTGTTTGTAAATGAAAGCCCCGTGCCCGGCATCCTGCATCTCCGGCTGCATCTTCTCGACCTCCTCATCCTGGCCACCACGCCACGTCACACAGCAGCAGGCAAGTGACCAAAAGATCACCACCGTTCCTTTTTCGTTCTGGATACACAGGAGCGGTCCGCAGTTCGGCGAAAACAATCCGACGATCGACGATCGGCAAGAGTCTCAGCGGCGAAGAAGCCGACGCTCGGCAAGACACGGAGGTGTGGTGTGGTAGAATCAATGTTGCTGGTGGTGTATGCATACATTCATAGGAGTAGAACCGATCGATGCTTCAACAGCAGGTGCTGCACGAAAAAAAATGACGGAGGAACAAAAAATATCGTTTTGCATTTGGTTTACACGAGGTTAACACACACGAGAGCAGTGCGACCGGCGTACATCCCCCAAAGCTAATCTCAGAGCAGCAGACTATTCCGATAGCGCTATCTAGGGAGCCAAGATTTGCCAAATTCGATACACTGCTGTAGGCTTCGGCGCAACCCGCAACCCCGGCCGAAAAATAATGTGTATCCAGATATGCACATGTACGTACATATTATACAATACATATCCTCGTATCTGCACGGCGCAACCATGGTGCTGTGCACCCGCGGCAGAGTCCAAGCACGAGAACGCGCCCACCACGTCATCAATCGCCGCCAAAAGTTCAGGGAAGACGAACTGAGCGTCAGAGAGTATAGACTATTGCACAAGCATTCAGCTTGATGATGTAGTGCAGGGCATCGAGAGGTGGGTACGGATGAAGTTGAAAACTTGCGTTCGTCTACAGGAATCGTGTTTAGACTCTGCCCTGCCACGTTATCGGAAACAACGAGCGTGGATCATGTCAGCTGCTGATCTTGTGGTTGTAGAGCACTTGGAATTGTGGTGTAAGGTGAACCACAGGTGGAGTATTCTTGAATGGCGTCAGCTAGGTTTAACGGAAGTTGCTGTTGGGGTGCCCCCCGCTCGCCTGCTGCTGTTCAGTGAGTTTGGTCAATAATAACGTTGTGCTATCTGATGTCGCACGCAGGCAACGGCCGGCCTACCTACACATTGAAGTGTCTCTCGAAGTATGAATGTGCACTTTCCATTGTGGGTGTGTCGAAAACGCGAGGAAGTACTTGCACACGAACACTGCACGCAACCCCGGGCCCCCCGAGTTGCCCAAACTTATCAAACATCAAGGGATGCTCTTCTTCCCGCACAACTTTAATGCTCTCAGGATATTAACTGCGCCAGAGGTCAAGCTGGAGCAAGCAAGTGCGTTCGGAACGTCAGCTCGAAAACACTTCGACCCTCTCTGCGACAAAAACACGAGCAAACAAGAGAGCGGGCAGCAGCCGCCTCCAGCGTTGATCGCCCACTTGGCTCAGGAAATCACCGCGTTCGCTCAAGAAACAAGCCCCCTCGAGGCGTGAACACCTACTACTGCCAGCACGCACTGATGTTCCGATACCAAGATGATACAAAGTTCGTCAAAAAACATCATGCTCGAACAGAATGATACAACAAAGAACTCGTTTACAGTCAGTACAAACGATACAGGCCCGACGCGCCCTCGTCCCCATAGGTTTCAGGCAGATTGCCGATAAAACGCGAAGAAGAAAATAGGACGCAAAAAAACCACGGACACCCGGCGTGGCTGAGAAAACAGATGCCTGCCCCCCCCGTCCGGGTCGATGCGCACCTAGGTATGAAAATTTGTCGGGCGAGAACGCGCGCACCCTAGCCGGCTGTTCAGCGTACGGCTTCTGTTCCTACGTCTGATAATCTTGTACCCCGGGTCGTCGTATTTGCCGGATGCATCCAACGGAACGCAAGTGAAGCACGGACCTGTTGAACCACCAAGAACGACGAGAAAATATGGCTTAGAATGAAACAGATCACACACATCCTTAGAAGTGTAGAGCAAGGGAAAGGAAGCGCCGGTTTTTGATCTTTCGTTACGATGTGGAGATCTGACGTGCAAGAATGCCCGTCACGACGTCCCCAACTCCAAGCCACGTCCCTCAAGGAGCGCCACATGCGGCTGCCTGAAGAAGTAGCCAGATCTCAGTTCCAGGCGTCGTAAACGAGGTCCTCAACACCATCATCCGTGTTTCCTTCACTCCACACCGGGTGGACGCCCTTCTCGCTCAACCCGTCAGATTCCCCACCGCTGGGGCTAGATTCAACCGAATCCCACTTCACCAAATCGTCGAGTACACCGACCGAACCGTCGCCGTTCTCGTCCGGCGCGGGGTCCTCCAGCTCTGCGTTCGTCGATTTCGCGGCATCGCCGGAAGAAACGTCGTTACTCGCGGAGGGTCCCCGCCTCCTCGTCATTCTGTCCCGCTCCCTGCGATTCGCGCTGCTTCCTCGAGGCGAGAGAAAGAGTGTCAAGGCATTGGCAACACGGGAGGATGGGTGTGGTCGAGCCTGGATGTGTAGTTGGGGTCGGGTGGTACCCTCGATCAGCCCAGTTTGAGGAGCACCCACCGTACGCCGGGACGCAGACCTCCCCTCTGTTCGCACGGGTGCCGGCGCCGCCCGACGCAGGGTGCAACGACTTCTGTAGCCGCCAGCGAGCGAGCACTTTCTGTCTTTCTCCTGCGCCTGTTGCACAGGGGCGTCTCCGGATTGCAACGGCACGCCAGCGTGACTGTCTTTCGGTCAGGGCCGATGGAAGAATACTCGGACAGCCAAAGCACGCAGTTCTCGGCTGTGAGTTCGTCTCCGTTGCTTCCCTTTTCTCGTGGGTCGACGCCCCATCCTTTATCGGCAAACTCAGTCGCCGGCATGGTCTCCCTCAGGCCGTGCTGCCAGTACCGGAAGATGGCGTTACCCCGTTCTCCCTGCTTGCGCAAGGAAAAACAAGACGGACAGGTGGCTATCGTCTTCTTCTTGGAGAGTTGGAGGATGGCGTAGCGGATCAAGCTCACGTAGCCCTCGACGTCGCCGTCGACGCTTTCGAGCAGCTGGGCTGGAGATGAATGAGCACTGCCAAACGCCGCTTCATCCCTGTAGAAAAACGTGGTCACCAAAAGGTTTCGCGCAATCCGTCGATATCCACGGCCCACGTGCTGTCCTGCTCCTCGAAGAACAACGGCTTGTCATAAAAATCCTCCGTCTGCACGATCTTAAGGACGAGTACCCACCACGTGTCGAATCGTAGCCCGGAAATTGCCGTGAGGTACAGCAGTCACAGCCCGACTCGACGAAGGTTAGGACGAGGGTTGTGTGTAAAAGATCCGCATTCCCCACGCCCGCACGCCGGTTTTCGCTTCTTGCCTACAGGTATTGGTTGGCCTACAGATAGCACCACTGGGGTAGAAAGTCTCCTACCCGCACCCCTCTTTCTTGGCTGATAACCAGCTTGTCCTGAGTTCCCGTGTGACTCCTACGCCGAGAATCAACGCGTTGATTCCCCCCGGCTTCTGAGTTTCTCCGTTCGTCTCGGGCAATCGCGCGATCTTTACGGGCCGTTGCCTCCCTCCTCGACTCGCTCTGCTGCTTGTAGTAATCCTCCTCCGCTAGCTTGCTCTCAAGATTGGATAGGCCACCCGTATCCCTAACAGAGGGCGTCCTCCTCCTGCGTTTCCTGCCCGACCGGGTCTTTCCTTCCGTCCGACGAACGCGTGCACCGGATTCTCTCGCGTAACGCTTTATCGCTGCGATGGGGGTGCCCACCTCGGTGGTTAGGTTGTCGTCTATCCTGCTCCCACTCCGTGGGCGTCCACTTGTGACGTTTCCTCCTGTGTTGTCGACCACTTGGGTACTCGGGGTCAACGTGCCTTCCGTAAGCTGGTGAAGGTACCATATTGGCTGCATACCCCGGCTTCCGGGTGTAACCGGGCTCACAGGCTGGTTCCGAGGCGACGCCGGTGGCGTACCCGGTTGAGCTGTAGGGCGGTTCACCCCACAAGCCCGTTGGCCCCGCCTACCCCTCCCACGGTTCATCTGACGGCAGGTCGACCTATGCCGGTCGTCATTCCATGCATTGAATACCTGGCCAGGGTATACCATAAAAACTACAAAATGTCACGTTACACGTACAGCTTATGAAGGCGCACACCTTGTCGTGGACCGGGCTCTTCGTTGACTCTTGGCAGCCATACATAAGATCTGATCCTCTGTAACCTGAGAACGTGACGGTCTAAAACCTGTTTGGATACGTACTATGTGGACTCTGTAATGCTGCCGCGTTTAACTCTTTTGTGCACGGTCTGGCGTGCACGTAGCTGCACGCCCCGGGTCATGTTTGGATCGTATATTGGCAAAGCACCGAGGTTAGTTTGAACTTGAAGACAGACGTGCTTGCCCTCTTGAAGCCCAAATTAACTGAAGCTTGTTGTGATAGCCTGACCCTGAACTGGCGTGGTTGTATCGGGCATTTCCATAGCATCCTGGGGTGGGGATGGTGTAGCCAGTGGGTTAATATGCGCAACATGCAAGCGCGTGCGTTCAGACCAAAGGCGTGGGCTCTCCTGACATTTGAGTTTTGAACACACCATGCTTATCCCCTACAACACATAATCGCCTCAAACCTTTCGCATTAGGTGGCAATAAAACCTAGGAATATGGCTGAATTAGGCTGCAAGACACCAGCCTCGTGCAGAGAGTCGGTTCGCGTGTAAAGCTCCCTCCCTGATCTTGGAGCTGCTGCATGATGGTACGCTCTAGCTAAATCCCAACATTTTCACCCCACTTGGCAAGCTCCCTCTTGGTGCAAGAAGATTTTGCCAACATTCAAGCAGAGTTGTTCCTTGAATGAATGTTCCTCGAACGATTGTTCCTCGAATGGATGTCTTAGGTGCTGCGCACGTACAACACGATACATTTCATTGGTATCGTTCATGCCTGCCTCTGCATGTCACACTCCGAACACAGTCTTTGCACACATCGTAGGCAGGGACATCGATGATGTGGCACACGTACTTATCTCGTGTCTATGATCATCGCGCTGGACAGTAGATTCTGTCATGGGGTTTATAATACGTCGTAGTTCACTGCTGTTGCCTTATTTCCTCATATATGTGGGTAAAGTACGTGGGAGGGACTTCGGATTGACATGCGCATCAACTTTGTTGTCTAGATTTTGACGACACACTACACGCATTTTTTTTCTTGACATCGAAACTCTTTCTTTCCATTCTGGTCTTTCCTTCAGTTGAGCAAACAATATTCGTTATCAGTCGAGGTTGCTATATATGTGCGTGCGTAGACGCACAAGTTTTTTGCGCGAGAGGTGGGTGGTGTCGGCTGAGGTTGTTGTCTTTGCGTTGTAGTTTGTTCTCGCATGCAGCATATAAGCTTTCGCAAGTGGGTCTCTTCGCAATATCCCTGGGATTCCTGTGGATCTCCCTTCTTTTGGTGCCTATTGCTGTTCCCTTGAGTCCGGTTTGTGAGGCCCACAGAAGGTTTAACTAATCCCCTTGGACGATGGACGATGGTGTTCCTCTTTTGGCGCCCGAATCTCATTTGTGGGCACAACGTGTTGACACGGCTACCGAAACCCATTGCAGGCTGTGAGCGAGAATAATACCGAGCCCACGTCGTCGTCAGTGTGGACCTTCTGCGGCCTGCCCTTTTCTATGAACTATGGATTGCTTCTCCACCACAGACTTGTGCAACCCATATGAACATTGAACGTCACCGGAGCAGTCGCTTGGCGAGGTGTGTCGAGCCTCAATTTCCCAATTTGGGCGGAAGCACCATCCAAAGTAGGTGATTAATTGAAAATTTTCTTGTTGTTGGAGTCCAGCACAACCCTGGTTATACCTTAGTTCATTTTGTTATTCAGTTTAGTACACTGCTTCCTTGCGTCAGACGATTTCACGTCTCGCCCATTGGCAGTGTGTCTTGTACTTGTTGCCTCTATTGTCAAGATTGTCACTCTTTCACAACTGTCTCTCTCCGCGGCTTCCGAAAAGCACAACGAAAAGTACACGCACTTCAGGGTAGGGGCGAGTGGGTCCCCCGGAGAAAACTTGTATATCAAAGTAATGAGAATTTCCCTTAACAGCAGGAGCCCATTGTATTGCCTTCGCATCAAAATGGGCGCCAAGATATGGTCTTCCACTTGTTGCTTGCTTCAGTTGTACGTAACCGATTTTTGCGGCCGTTCGCAGAGGGTTCAGCTCCTGGCCGCTTATAGGCTCGAAACATGTTCCCCGCTCGGTGACACCTATTCTCGCATCAGGGTTGATTATCACGCTGCTGGACTGACGGGCAGCACAATACCTACCTGCATCTTCTCTGCGTGAGAACGCAACCCGTCGCAATGTGGTGAGAGGCATACAGACTTTGAAGGTGGGCACGACGCATTGGCCTGTGGTATTGTTGTGATCAATCGCTCCGGAATTTCGAATGTTTTTTTTAGAGGATATGACAGGGAGAGCGCGCACAGAATGTTTGCGTACTTTCTTTTGGCGGCAGCTCATTCGGTATGGCCGAGACATCTATTGTATTGCGGAACGTTGCCAAGTAGATAGTGTTGAATGCGGAGACTTAAGGTGAAGATGAAGCGTATAAAATCGTGTAATTGTAATTCAATCGCTGACCTGCAGCTCTAGTAAAAAAAAATGAACAGACGAGCATTCCGGACATCTATACACCTCTGTGCGCAATCTCAGGAAACCGGAAGAGGTCGTACCACGGCACAAACGGCGGGCCGTGCTGCTCTGGACGACGCTGATCGTGGGCATCATCTCGTGTGAGTGAACGAGCGCCGCTACAAGACACGAAATACTCGACAACTTCGCTCCTTTCCCTCGGTCTCTCCAACTGATCGCAGTACAGTTTGTGAACGCGAAGCTTTGCAAACTTCGCCCCGATGGCCTCTGCGGATTCCATTTGTTTCGACTGCGGAAGGAACATGTCACATGCCTCCTCATGCATTCGGCTCGTATGGTCCGCGCGGCCTTAACAGCGATTGGATGCCTTGTAGAGTGGTGTAAAGCTACGGAGCGGCGAGTGAAGGATGTCATTGGTGCCCAGTGAATGAACAACGTTTGTTATTGAAGGTCTTGCTCTGAATCTTGAACCCTATCAAAAGGCCCACCGCTGACTGGCTGGCTGATGGCCGTGTTGTTGTCGCAGATTCTACCTACACACTGTACAGAGGCCTCAAGAGGCGCGAGGACCCCGGCACGACCTTCAAGCTCTCGGTAAGCCGAAGGCGGGGTAGTGAGTGCGGTGGAACAGCAGCATCTGCTTCCCATTCACGAACACACTTTACTGTTGAAGCTTTCCTCCCGCGTCCCCCGCTGACTCTGCTTGTGCCCGCTTTTGCCTCAGAACAACATATATCAGTACCCGGACTTGTGGGTGTGCTTGTATGTCAACTACGGCTGCGACGAAATGGAGCTGCAGGAGGAATGCGTGAACTCCTCGAACGCAACAGAGGGAGGAGAGACCCTTGCGGTGTTCTACCCCGGGGGGGAATACGAGCAAGTTATTCCCGGGGAACAAATCCTATCAAAAGACGTGAGGAAGGCAGATAGCTGACATGATCTGGGTCTTTTTCGCATAGTGATATTCCAGGACACACAGTACCCGTTTCTGTGGTCATGTATAGCTGAGTTGTGTTTGCCATGCCGTGTCTAGCGGGCCAGGTCGAAGGATTCCATGGAAGATCCTGATTTTGTTTTCTGTTGAGAGGGTGCTTGCAGCTCGCTCTCAGTCGCTTCTTCACCGTAGGTGACGATGGGGGTCGGCACGCTTCACGACCGGCTTCGAATATGTCGGTATGCCAAGAAGTGTTTGAACCCCAGACCCGAGCACTATGCAACAACTTTTCCTCAACCGGAGAAATCCCTCCTTGTTAGGGCGTCGAAGACAACTTAAGATTAGGTTTTCTCCCCACCCTTGCTGCAGAAAGGCTTCTTCTGCGTGGAGTACGAGACCTCGACCATCACGACGTTTCTGGGGCAAGAGCCGGAAACTGGTGAATACCTCGACCACATCCTCCTTGACGTGAGCAAGAGGAAACTGGTTTGGGACTGATTATAACCACTATGAACGATCAATAGATTGAACCCTTAGGTATACCAAGTCCTGCACGATGAACGGTACCCATCCTTACGATATTTCGTTCGGGTGGAGGTGGTGCTACATCACAATCCGATGGTGCAGGGAAAGGGTTCAATCCGACAAATGATTGGTTCTTGACAAGACTCACACCTTCGTCAACAGAAACTCTTCGTTCGTGTGCCCGCAGATGAGCTGGTACCCGGGTGGATACAACGATTCCAAAACTTGCCTCGCGGAAGGCTGGGGGACCCACAAGTTAAGTGCTGACAGGCGCTCTTTGGGCACTAGACGACCGACAAACAACGAACGCCGAATGTTCGGTTCCGTTTGTGGCCGCTTTGATGCGCTTTCTCTCGCTTGGAAATGTGACGCGAACTGTAGCGAAAAGGGAAAAGGGGTCGTTCGACTTGTATTTCAGCTGCTATTCCTAAATTCATGTGATGCTGCAAGTACGTACGGGATTTTTCTGTATTGGGTCTCCTCTATCGCAATATCGCTGGTCCATCGATCCTCGCCCTACCTCACGTTCGCACGAATGAACCATTCAGCGAATGGATATACATCACCTTCAAGGACGCAGGAACAGGGAGCCTCTCCTCCGAAATCCCACTTCCGTATACCTGCATTACTAATGGGTCAACCAGTCGGGAGTTCACGCACGTGGTGAGTTGTGTTCTCCTTTTTGCTTTCCGATGCATAGACGCGATATTGGCCGGGTAGTTGAATATTGTGTTCCATGGTGAAGGGTGTATGGATGCGGGTCGCGAGAACATGTGACGCTCGAGCGTGATGCGGCAACCGCAGAAATATTTCGAGTACCGCGCAATTGGACACCGAGTGCCTCGCCTCTTACGCTTGGGCGTGTTGTTGTTGTTGTTGTTGTTGTTGTTGTTGTTGTTGTTGTTGTCTTCACATTAAAAACCGTTCCGATCTTTCTCTACCCAGTATCCGTACTGATCCAACACCTGATGCGGTCGATTCCCGCGATCGGAGAAATTGTACAAAGTTCTGGGACATGTGGTGCCCTCCGGCCGGGCTTGAAAGATCGATTGCTCCGCACCAGGAAACTCCCTTCTCCCGATCCGTCGAAATTAGCTCTTGAGGAGATTTTCATAGCCGTCCCTGCTGCGAAATAAGTTATTCAGTAGAGGGGTGCGAATTCTCATGCGAATACTCGTAAATAGGTCTTGAAAAACTGCAATTGTTTCTTTGTCTGTCGGAACCAACCTTGTCGTTCTCTGCTAACATGTACACTTCCACCGCCGCGGGGCTGTCGAACCAGGGGATAGAAGTCACGAAAGTGGAAAGGCTCTCGGGAGACATCGACGTGACGTTCGAAGCAAAGAGCGTCATAACAACGACACAGAAAATTGAGGTAGGATGCAAGGGTGGCTACATGCGACCGGTGGGATACGACACACACGGTAACGGTCTATCACGAGCGCGGTGCAGCAGAAAAAGGTATCGGGTTCAAGCCTTTCACGCGAATGTTGGAATTTGCCGAGATAATGATCAACAACGGTAACTGGTATACCACGTGGTATCGTAGCAGTGGAGCGTACGTGCAAAAATGTGTTGTACCTGTGCAACCTGTTTTTCTATATGATAGGTTTTTGTACTTGGCGTAAAATTTGATGTTTCGGGTGCCATCAGACAATTTTGCGTCATGTCGGTTAGCGGACTTCCATTGGTGTCGAACCATTGCCAAGGCTCGTACCGTCCCTTCGTACGTTGCGCAGCCGAACCCAGGTATTGCGAGGCCGTATGCCAACCTGGCTCTGCTAATCTACCAGGAGACGAACTCATTGCTCACCATCAAAGAGATCGACCCTCTCGATCTCGCCGAACTGTTTGGCACCGTTGGCGGATTCTGGGGTGAGGACACCGGGCGTCTAATTTTTGCATTTTGGACGGTAGCACGATGCAAGATAGATCGGCCAGCCGAGGAGACGAAAAGGGAATGGCGGCGGACTATTGTATCGCAAATCTTGCTACATGGTCTCATCGAGAATTTTTCTGTGCCATGTCTTTGTAAGCAACCGACTTATCCATCTCTGTAGCGAGGGTAGTTTAATCGCCTACATGCACGAAAAGCATATGACGCCTACACTACTGCGATGCACATAAGACTGATACAGTATGTCTCTGCGAAACATCGTCAATCTTGAACCGCAGACCTGCTGCTGCTACTATGGCCGATCTTCTTCGTGGCTTCCAGCAGACAAGCCCCTCACCTTCAGGGTCGCAGCTTTAAGAAGGCGATCACCAAGGGGATAGGAGGTATCCGCAATGGCAGCCCAGTCGGACAAATTGACCCATCATAGAGATCAGGTGAGTGGGGTGTTTCCACGCCGAGCTATAGGTCTCTTTGTTTTTCGTTATTACCACCCGGGGGAGAGGGCACAGGAAGGAAGGTAAGCAACAGTTACCTGGTGCAATTTATTTTTCTCCACTTCTTGCACGTTTGGCTAATATTCATGTGATGGATCCACCTCGCTTCGCATGCGTTGCTCCGAAGCAAACACGCTCTTCGTCGGTGCCGCTCCTGTTAGGCGCTATGTTAGGCGCTATGACCTGCTGTTGTGTGAAGCAGCAGAAGTATCGCAGCGGGTTCTTCACCGTGTCAACCTTGACGCGAATTCGGCGGAAATGTGTCAATCGTTGGCGCCGGTGATGGGCCTGACACTCGAGAGTATCCTCACCCAGCATGGAGGGCGAGTGGCGTCCTACTCCCCCCGCATCATCCCGCGCCGCCCCTCGTTACAACAGAGAGTTACTGAGGTTCTTGGCCCACCGAGGCGTACCGAAGTACCGTGGAATGAATTCGAAGGGCGGCACGCTCGCCCTCAAAACGGTTCCAATGGCGATAACGTGACCCGGAAATGCTCCGTCGCCAGCCACCCGTTTGTGTAGCACCGCCTGTTTCGGCGGCGACCGAAGGTCCAGTTTGGCTCGACTGACGCGTTATTGCCTTGCTCACGGAAACTTGAAACAGGCTCTGGCAGCTGGCGCCCGGACGAACGCGGCGGAAGAAGGACGGCTGCGACAATGAAGAGACGTGCCTCGCTCGCTGTAGTGTTCTGTACGGCGAGTTGGGTTTGTGAAGAATGCTTTTGTTCTGCAAAACCACACCCCCGCGGGGAAAGAGGGTGTGCAGCGGTCAAGGGTGGTGGCTTTGGAGGTAACGGGAGTGCGACAAGCGTAACGTGGGAAGTAATGTGTTTTTCTTCGAGATAGCTGTTCAACTAGGCCACCTGTTTTCGGTGTTCGTGAAACCCAACGGGTAGATGAATCTTTGTCTCATTTTTCGATCTACGGTGCATGTCTACGTGTTTTACGATCAGATGGCGAGACCTGTGCTCCTGCTGTAGAGTACATAATTAGCGCCAGTAGGACGAGGTGGATCTTCATTGAATTTACATTTTTTTTCGCACGCCGGGGATGATTGGAGAGATCGCACAGGGTGTTGGTGGTCGCTGTTTCCTTGTTCCAGCATCACAGACACCCGTTTCAGTGTTGGGGTTGCGTTCCACCTCTTGGGACTTCAGCAGACCATTTGAGGTGCATAAGGCAAGTGCGTTTTTATTGCCGCAGCAGTGCTATTATTAGTTGAGCAAAGAGGTCTAATGTTGTTACGCTACCGCATGCAATCACCCTTCCTTTTCGGTTTGGAGAAGGCACGCCCCACCGGGGCATTTCCAAGGCAGGGGGGCGATCGCTGCACAAAAAATCCAAAACACCCCCTGGGGGCGAAAGGTTCGCCGAAACAAAATATTAATTTTCAGTTTTCCTAATTTGAAAAAATTTAAATTAAAAAATGCACCCAAAAATTTTAATTTTTTTTGAATCTTTGGCGGGGTGTTTCTGACTTTCACGGATCGGAGAGTAGTTTGGCTCTATAATATTATTTCAACCTAAACCTGATTTAACCAGTCTTGTGTGTAGAGTCGGTGGTGGCTGTGAGCTCAATTTCTCGCGGCGTTTTTCATATTTTCAACGATCGCGTCCCGGTTTCTTGTCACGAGTTAGCGATCTGGCGCTACTGCTTACTGTAGACCAGACACCGTAGCCGGAGAGTTGGCACCATCGTGCGATAGGGGTTAACCCCCATCCTCACAGCGTTTGCTTAAAGTCCGTCATCGCATCTCCAACGACGATACACGTACCATACATACAACTGTAGTAGTAATGCCAACGAGACTAGTCTACACCTCTACCGGCCAACAGGTAGTAAGTAGATTAAACTAGTCTGTTAGCCTTGGCGAGGTGGCGTATTTTGCCACAAACGAATGTGTGTCTGGTAGAAACAGACAGCAACGAACGGTGTTCGATGCACAACGACTCCTGACCTGCGAATCTATTTACCAACCAATGCCCCGTTCAGGGGACGCTCTGGTAGAACGTCGCATGTACTACTCTAGTTCACCCTTACGACAGTACTTATCTAACCAAACTAAGTGGTTGTAGGCAAATGCATGAAACACGTTGGTTGTAGGCAATGCGTGAAAAGCGTCTTCTCTCGCAAAAATTGAGACACAGCTTGCACTCACCCGTCGACACAGTACAGTCAATGGCGCGGGGCTTGCTCAACAACTAGGTCTATGCACTTTAAACGAGATACCGTTTTTGTCACCGCATCGTTTTAGGGGGGTGGTTATCCAGCTTGCGCGGCTTGGCGACTCGGTGGCGAGATCCACTTATCGGAGGAAAGCGAGCATCAGTATCCGATCAATGAATCCACAACCACGTGTACGCGCCTATCTACTCAATTTTCTCGATCCCACTTCATTGCGCGCGCTGCACTTACCACCTCACTCTCTACCCCCGGTCATGAAAACTGAATCACCCCACAGCCGACTCGTCCGGCACCCGCACTTAAAAAAAATTCTAAGAACAACCAAACGAACGCTGTAACTGTCGTTTCATTCATTCAGAGTCCAACATACATACATGTAATGTTCCCGCCGTTTTCACGACGACACTCATCCACGTTCGTGCTTGTTCATGAAACCTCAAGAGGAATCTCGGACAAACAAAAAAGAAGAACACGGGATTATTAAAAACCAATATAAACAACCTCGCTCCCGGCAAGCAAGCTCGAGCAATCGGTGCCACAACAAGCAGCAGCAACCCGCTCGTTCACCCCGGGTCGGTCCTCGTCGACACGTGCGGCGACCCCACCACGGACCCAAGCGGCGGCAATCCCGCCGCCGCGGCGCCCCCCCCGACCCCTCGGGGATTCTTTTTCCCGGCGTTAATGTCGGGCAGGTGGTAACCCCCCGTGACGGAGTCGCTCGCTCTCCGCGCTTTATCGCCCCCGGCCATCCCCAGCCCCCCCAGCCCGCCGCGGTTGCCGCAGGCGTTGCTCCCAACGCTGCCCACGATGCCCCTCGCGAATATTCTTGGGGGGTTGCCTTGCCCTCCGATGTTTCCTGGAAAGATATGGTTGTGACTTTTTTTTTTCGTTTTTTGTTGTTTTCGCGAGCCGTTATTGCCGCCCGAGAACGAGTCAGTGCACCACGCCGTGTGGTGGAATCGCGCGTGAGCAGTGCAAGCGCGGCCGGCCGCGTTGTTGTTGTTGCGGGCGTCGCGCGATCGGGTCGCGATTTGTGTATACGTAGCGAGAGAGGCGTGGCGGGTACAGGCAGGGAACGGGACGGGGGTCAGTCAGCCTTTGCCTATGCTGCGGTAACTTCGAGTGGCGCGATGATTGGTGGATGTGTGGGTGCATTTGAAAGAAAAAGGTACATCGTGACGATAATACCGTCTTGCTCACAGCGGGGGCGTTATTCGATTTCGTCTTCGTTTGCCCTCGCGTACCTGATACATCTAAGGTACTTCGACAACCACAGCCCCCGTCGCAACCACCAACACCGCCGCCACAGTATAAAATAATCGGATGCTTGCTTGGCGCAGGCAGGAGTTTCTCACCCTCCAAGGGGCCGGCCAGTGTGGTGGCGTGAAAGCTGTAAGCTGTGTTGTGATGCTATCATGCTTCTGGCCGCAGCCCCTAGGGACAATCCACGCTACAAGCGCAGTTGGTCCAGCCGGTAACAATGGTCGATGCTTAATGAATAGTGCAAGGTTCGTTCTTCACGTGATACGTATCCCTCCGTTGAGTCCGACGTGAAAACGACGAAAAAAGAAATCACCATATCTGACGAAAATATCGTGCAGTCGAATACACTGCAGAGGTATTCGCAAAATGTTCAAAGGGTGTTTCGAAACAGCGCATCGTGAGATTCACGGATGGACACGAAACTTGTACGTGCGTGCACTTCGTGGGAGGGCCCAATGGGATAGACTACGTACTGTCTGTTTTTCTAGGAATAGGGCTGCCCCTCGTTTTCTCTCTCTGCATTTCTCCTGAAAATTCGGGCAGCACCTGTTATCTCGCCTGCAGACAGAGGCGATGACGAATCAAACGCACTCAACCTGAAAGACGACCGCAGCTTCAAAACAGCACAGCAGGCCGTAGCCAACGAGATCTCCCCTTCGAGGTTCGGGGATAAGTGTCAAGTATGCGCCCCCAAACGTCTTCTGGAAAATCGAGGTTGGCCGTGGCTTGTCGCCACAAAACTCGAGCCCCGTGCGCCAACTCGATCCTCCCCCTTCCCCACCAGAAATCCAGGGCATGGTAAACTTACCTTCTGGGGCTAAACTTCGGCATCCTCACCAACCCTTTCCATATCTTCCCACCAGAAATTCATGGCCCTTTACCTGCTTTGGCTAAACGTCGGCATCCTTAGTATCCCGGTGTGGTGGTGGCCACCACCACCGCCGCTCGGGGCCGCTCTTCTCCGGAACTTGTCCCCGGGCGTCCAGCCCTCCTCCGCCTCCGCGCTCACCGCCGACGCCGCCGTCTCGTCCGCGGAGTACCCGAACGCCGAGGGCCCGAGGGAGCTCAGCATGACCGCCCGGCAGCGGTCGAAGGACTCCTCCGTAAGGCCCAAGATGTGCAGAGCCTTCATCCGCTGCCTCTGCTGTGAGTTGTAGCCCAGGAGCTGCTCCTCCTTCGTGGGCGGCGTGTCGTTCGACCAGTTCCTGCGTCGTTCGCGAGAAAGCGGCGTGAGGGGTGAGGGAGAGTGAGAACGACGATGAGCCGTAGGGGGGGGGGGGGGAAGGAGACGGAAACGTATGGCCGTTCGTTGTAGCTCGTCCACAGACTTCCATCCGCGGGGGGGGCGAGGAATGGGGAACAGCGTGGCGGGGATTGAACTAAGGGGTGGGGGAGGGCGTCGGTTTCGAACACTTTGGCATTCGAAACGTCCCCACCAAGTGTACTGACCGAAACGAAAACCATCGCAAAAGGGAGTAGACGGAAAGAGAGGGAGAGGGGGGGACAGAGGGACGTAGAGAGGAAGGGAGAGAGGGACAGACAGACAGATAAATAGACAGAGAGGCAGGCAGGAAGACAGACAGACAGACAGACAGACAGACAGACAGACAGACAGACAGACAGACAGACAGACAGACAGACAGACAGACAGACAGACAGAGAAGGCAGACAACATAGAGAAAATACACAGATAAGCAGACCAAGAGGGAGTCCAGGGAACTGTATGCCAAATATCACTCCAACAAGGCATCAGGAAGGCGAAACCAACTCCACCCCCGGCGGCTCGCACAACAGCTAAAAGATAATTTAAACTAAAGACGTACAGGCCCATCTTTAGCAGCCTGTCCGCTATCTCGAGGTCCTCCTCGCAGACTCCCATCCTCAGGAGAGCCTTGACTCGCTTCATCTGCATCAAGTTCATGCCCCAGTGTCTCGCCATCAGCTCTTCCTTCGTGTATTTGGTCGACAGGTGCTCCTCGGGCTGGTCCTTTGAGCTAGGGTCGGGGTCGACCGCCTCGCCGTCCGTGGCCTTCTCCTCGTCCCTGGCGGCAACGGCGTTGTCCCCACTATTTCCGCCACCATCGCCAGTTTCATCAGAGCCAGCGCCAGCACCATCTCCAGAGCCACCACTACCGCTACCACCACCACCACCACCACCACCACCACCATCACAACCACCACCGTCACCACCACAATCTCTGCCACTGACTCCACCACCACCACAATCGGAAACAGAGGGCACGGCACCCCCGACCGCATCTCCTTCGCCACTACCGCCGCCATCTCCGGCCGGGGTCTTTGCATCCGCCTCCGCCGCCGCTGCTGCCGCCTCCCCCGCAGCTGCTCCTACTGCTGCCGGTGTCGGGTCCCCAGCCCCAGTTCCCAGATCTGGGGAGGCGGCGGTAGGATCTTCGCTTTCGCTGACCGCTACGGTCGGCAAGGAATGTCGCTCGGTCTGTGCTGTAGTCTCAGGCTCGCCCGCAGCACCGTCGGTGGCGACGGCGGCGGCAGCAGCGTCGGCGACGCTAGCGCTATTATCGCCGCCGCCACCGATGGCCTGTTCCATCCCGATGGTCGGGCGCGGGGTTGCGCAATGTCGTGGTGGTTCGCTTCAAAGATGGTTAATGGCCGATGAGGGTGACGGCGCTTGGCGCAGTTCGATTGGTCGGCACTAGCCCCCGACAATGTTGTGCACCGCTTCTCCCCCCGGTGGTATTGATTCGGCCGGTTCTTCGGTTCTGGTGGGAGGGAGGTACTGGCATCACGAGCGACGACGACGTCGACAACGGAGACGGACGGATGGTGTCCATGTCGGTGCGTTGCAAACCAATGGACTGCAACTGTCGTTTCTTCATGAAGAACGCGGTCATCTAATGAGAATTGGCGCCAAACGAATGGCTGGCGACCTCGTCGAGAAGAACAGCCCAGTAATGTCTACGGCGTAGGTTTGTACAATAGAGAAAAACTCATCATGCCCACCCTTGCATTGTACGGTAGCTCGAATGAGAGAAACGTTGTTGGTATACGAGAACTGGTGGATGGTGTGTGGGACTGACGCAGTACTTTCTACGTAGGGCGAAAACACTCAGATGCCAAACATCCGCACGTAACCACAAGCATATGCAGATACCGACGGCCAGTACCCGCGACGATGCCGTCGCTTCAACTTACTGCAATCGGGGTGGTGTTCGTGGAATCGCAACCTCTTATTCGTCTTTCTTCCCTTCTCTTTTTCCGATCACCCGGCAGGCAGGTGATCCACACTTATCCAGGAACGGATAATAGTCTCTTTCGCCAATACACAAACACATTGTTTATCGCATTTGTGTTGATTAACACTGGTGGTCTGTTTCTTTTTTGTTTTTTGTGAAAGATGCCTTTTGGGCGTAGTTAGACTGTCACCGCAACAGATGTTCGCGTCGGTTGGACCAGTACAGGCACTTCAACATACGGTACTGAGTAGCGATCGGAGCAGTTTTGAAAGTGAGAACTGTTCGACAGCAGCAGCAGCAGCAACAACAACAAGTAACTCGTTGTTTTCGACCGTGTCTCTGTGGGCGTGTTTTGAAATGCCCTCTGCTGGCAGCAAGCCATACGCTCGGGCGCTCGCACAAACGTTCGTGGATACCAGTTCCAGCGGCATCAGCCATATCATCCTCGTCGGTCCTGTGTCTACAATATATCAATGAACGTGGTATTCGCTACGGGCAGAACTCGTAACTCCTACGTACGGTACAGTCATATTATCAAGAGTATGTATACGATCATGATCCTGTGCAGGTGAACGTCCAAATGGCACCTGCCAACGGTTGCAGGTTTGCTTTCGCGTATGTGTGGTTGCTCCATACAAGCATGCAGATTACAGCAGCAACACGAAGCACCTGGACCGTCACCATCGAAACTCATCTACGTACTGCTATCGTTGACGTCGGTGCAAAACGTACGCTGCTACGCACGCAGGTTTAGGTTTCCCACCATGTTCCAAAACATGATGTCGGATGATGGTGGCCGAGTCGACTATCTACTTGTTTTTTCAATTGGTATGCCACTCTTACCCCCCGTTGACGACGACTGCTGTCATCCATCTATCTATAGGTAAATAAATGAACCACGTTTCTTCGGATTTACCTCCGCCCGTCAGGGGACGAAGATGCCACCCACCAACAACGTAACCCTCAGACCTGGAATATAGAAGTATAGATCATCTTGTTGTTTTTCAGTGTTCACATCAGAAAGATACTCGATCAGATTTGCCTTACAGATCTACGTGTGTCATACCTTGTGCGGTTTGGCCGTAATCTATCACCAGCGATGGCCGTGCGCGTCCGTGGGTGTGCTGATGATACCTCCCACAGCAGTCGAGATGAAGAGACCCAACAAGACCAGGTTGAATGAGTCCCCGCTCGTTCAGCTAGCGAAAGCCGGCGGCCGCAGCAAGAGCACAGCCCTTAGCTGTTACTGTCCAGGCACAGCAGTAGTGCCATAGGTGGTACATGTTAGGGTACTCTTACCCTTGCCCCCTTGATCCTGTACAGGTAATTGCGGTGGAACTGCTGTTGTTTGTTCCCGCTCGAGTACAACAAAAAATGTAACCGAAATGCGGGCAAACTCTAAAATCATACGATATATATATTCTACGACCACTTGAACGTACTTTTTGTGTTAGTCTACCCTGTAGTCTGCATATCTCTATCTACGTAGACTTCAGTGATAGACCGCAGCGTACATGAGCGTAGGCACGTGGAATTCAAAGATCGGGGTTGTCCACAAGAACCGTGGGCGTGGGGGCCAAGTACATCCACAGACGTACCACAAGCTGAGTTGTACATGGCCCACATAGTCTATTTTCAGCTCCACCTTCAAATCTTTGACAAGACAACCATCTGCCAACGTTATGGCTAGGGTTAGTAGGACGGGAAGACTCAATGTGGTGGTCACGCGTGAGGGCTCGCTCTCTCCGCGCTCTAGATCCGGGTCAGCTTCGCCAAGTCGCGGCAGTCATCATCACATCGACCAGCAATTGCCACAGCAGGTAGGTATCAACCGGCTCTTCTTTTTCGATCACACAGCGAAGTGTACGTACAGCAGTAGCGCAAAATGGACTAATCTATAGACTTACACGTAACTCTCGCGTGACCTGCTGCTGTAAACTTGAGGGTTGTCCCACGCCCGCAAAGATTCATCGGTAGTTGCCATCTTCACATTGAAAACTGTCCCGATCTCTGCTCAGTACTCTTCTACCTTTTGTATCCGTGGTCTGGGCTACACGTACCTACACTTGCTGCTCTCCCTGCAGCCATCATGCACACCTGCTGTTGCCCAGCTGCATACAGGTCGCATGCTTGTGATACCACTGCCTGTATCATGTGAATCAAACCTCGATTACTTGCTGCCCAGATGAACTACGAAGATATTGTACTACTACATCGGAGGTGGCGAGATGCGCAGGTAAACCGTGCCACAACTTCCACGGAATACCACATGTACTGTAGCGTGCTCTACGTGCTTCACCGTCCGCGCAGTCAGGAGCCAATTCGGCTGAATATGGGTTTCTCATCAGATTCCGACAGCGTTAAAGGAAAACAACAGGTGCTTAGATCGGAATGAAGGTCGGTTGCACTCCTAACAAGCACGCCGCCTGATCTGGCTCGTGGAGACTTGACTTGGTATTGGGGATGAAACGCCGTTGTTACGATCCTTGGCTGTGTCTCAGTCGACCTGCTTCGCTCTGTGATGTGTTGCATCTAAGCAAGTCTAGGGCACAGCCAGTAGCTTCAGGGCCACAACATGCACTTCCGTAGCGGTAAAAAACCGATAGCACGTCACCCACAGACGCAACGCAGTGCGAATCATAGAGAATATCACCAAACCTTGCAAATGCCATCATGTGCCCCACATTGATCATCAATCACTACCCACACGGTGCCGCCAGAGGAGGGCAGAGTCTCTGCAAAAAGAGGTCAAAGTCCTTCGCAGCTACCTGAGTATTGGGGGCGATGAGGCGAGGGCGTCGAGGGAGACCGCCTTCTCCTTTTTCAAGACGAAAGAAAAATGCACGGAGTTGCAGGTACTAAATATTGGGCGACTGTATCTTACCTAGATGACGAACGATGCTGGCAGCGGTGGTGATGGAGGCAGAGCGGCATGTACAAGCTATTCGCAACCCCCCCCGATGGAGTCCTAACCCTAGCCCTAACCCTAACCGAGGAGGGATTCAGCACCCTACACGGCGTGCAGTGCTGTTGTTTGGTGCCTATGGAGCGCGTTTCCTTCATTTAGCATACGCTCCTGCTCTTGTTGCTACAAGCTCTGAAGTGCTTCCTATGCTGTCCCTCCAGCCGAGGACTGTTCCGTATCATCATCAATGTGGAGTGAAATACTTCCGAGATATCGTCCCCGCTGTCGTTGCCAGGACCACACAGAGCACGCGGCCCCCTACCTCTCGTGCACCTTTGGAAGGGAAGCTTCGTTCTCGGAGATAGTGTGGGCAACGGCTTAAGTGGATGCGTCCGACCGCGCGTTCCTCGTACCCAGCGTTCCCCTGGAGTGGCTACAGTATGTAGCGGAAGAGAAAAAATAAAGAGAATAAAGCCCAAAGCTCGGTTGGCACGAGGAAAGAGAGAGGAGCCAGGAAAAGGCACTCCAGTGGTCTGCGGGAAGTTCAAGGACATGAGGAGGATCTCATGCCGATGTGAACGTTTTCCCTGCCGTCTCACCTTTTGAACGTTCCGTCTGTCTGTCTGTCTGTCTGTCTGTCTGTCTGTCTATCTGTCTGTCTGTCTGTCTGTCTGTCTGTCTGTCTGTCTGTCTGTCTGTCTGTCTGTCTGTTTATCTGTCTCTCTGTCCATCTGTCTGTCGCCTATCCGTGCCATCTCGTCTTCTCTGTCTGCCTGACCCTCTTCGGGAAACCAGGAGAAAGTGAAAACGGCCAAGCACCTCCTGGATGCTTCGAGGGTGGAGTCAGCAAGGCTGTCACGGCTGGTCGAGGTCAAATCCCGCAAGCTGCACGCGTCGCGGAAAGAGGCGAGAACATTTGAAAAAAGTCACAACTGCGCCAACGGTGACAGTCTACGGTATACTTTATGGTTCTGTTGTGTTTACGGCGGCATCGTTTTCGTTTCCCGTGTATGAGCTCGGTTTTCTATTCTTATTCTTTGGGCTGTGGCGCAAGGCGAGATGGTCGTTTTTTGGAGACAACGTTGTCCATGTGGATCTCTGTCGTGCCTCCCACCCGGTCATCCCCGCACCAAGGGCACCGATACGTTTACCACGTTCACGAGGAAACGAGCTCCCTTCTGCCCGTCCCCACAGACGGCCGTCTCCCCCCCCCCCCCCATGCCGCCACCGTACGCCCTCGTTTCTCCCCTTCGGAAAACATCTTTGCGCGAACTACGGTTTTATTTACACACACACGCAGGCTGCTCGCCTACCCGTGCTTGCTGCAGAGGTGAGCCGACTGCGTGAGGTCACGGGCAACGCCGAGAGCGCCCTCGGGAAGGAGGGCAAGAGGGCCGAGGAGGAGAAACGACGGTCGGAAGCGTGGAGAGCTCGAGTCGACAAGCTATCACTGCAGGCGAGACTAGGCGGGCGGGCGAGGGGGGTGGGGGGCTCGTTCTGTTCTGGTTGGTTGGCGCTTCGCGCGACAGCGTCTATACGCAGGCAGCATTCCTCTTGAATCGGAGAGAGGAGGGTATTGTTTGGCGACGGCAATGAAGTCGTCCACGACAGCAGCGTCAGGACAATGCCCACTCCGACAAGAAATTTCCCATCATCGACCGCGATAACAAACACAACAATGACGTCGACAGATTATTGATAGAACCATCGACGACGACAACAACACCAACAACCAATCAACGACACCACTACCACCACTACCACCACCACCACCACCACCAACAGCAACAACAACAATCAACAACAACAACAACAACAACAACAACGACTGCACAACCAAAAACACCCTGCCCCCCGCGCTACACTCTCTGTGCGACCCCTCGTACCCCGAACACCAGGCCGTACAAAGCGCGGAACGCTGCCGGACCCTTTCCGCCGAGAACCACCAACTGAAGGAAGAGATCGAGCGCGTGAGGGAGCACCTGGAGGAGGCCAAGAGGCGGTGTTCGGCGGCCGGCGCAACATCAAACGCTCTCCGGCTGAAGACCATCGAGACCGAGCTGCTCTCGGAGGAGTTGGGCGCGGTGAGGGCCGACTGTGGCCGGCTGGTGCAACTCGTCAGGTGTGAAATATGTTTTGGGTGTACGCTTGCTTATGTTTTCGCTGTCCACGAACTTTTGTTCTCCGAGTCTTCTTCGTCGGTACGATCTCCTCAAGTTTGGCTGCGTTCGGTTAGGCAGATGTTTTTATCCGCCGCGTTCAGGCACTTTTCTTTTAGACTGCTTGTCCCATCGCGCAAACGTCTGCACGCTATTCCCCTTGTCTCGCCGCCCTAGCCTCCAACCTAGGACTGCTCCTGTTGCTCCCCTTATTATTGCGGCTTTCGACGAACAAACAGTTCGACGAAGGAGTACGCGGAGTTCCGTCGGGTGTGGGACGACAGCGGGGGTCTCACCCGTCCCTACAACGGGGGCGCCAAGACCCCCTTCTTTGCCGCCAAGAACGGGGTTAGCATCAGCCACAGGGTCATTACAAAGGCCACCGCCTCACAAGAAGAAGAAACGACGGAGTCAACGGTCTCTTTCAGCGAAGCGGCCCCCTTTAGCGGAGGCATGCCGCAGACGACGACCATGACGGAGGGGCCCGCAGCGGCCGAAAGAGGCACGCCGATCACCCGTTCTTCGGATCCCTGGGAGCAGGTGATGCGGTCGGAGTGGTCCAGCCCTTCCGAGAAGCTCATCGGCGCTGCTGCTGTAGCCGCAACTCCTCCTCCTCCTCCGCCGCCGCCACCGCCGCCACCGCCGCCGCAGTCACGCTACCTCTCTTCAACCTTGACCCTGGTCGCGCCAACGGCGGGTGGCGGCGCCGCGTCGTCGGCAGAAGAGCGGACTCTAGGAGGGCGAGGGTCGAGACCAGAAGGGGCTCCAGGGTGGCCGACTGAATCACCACAACCAATACTGAAAAAAGTATCGTTTCCCGGGCAGACAGTGGCGCCGCCGGTGGCGGCTGGTGGCGGGAGAGAGGTGCACCACGGAGTGGGGAGAGAGCTTGGAGGATCTTCGATGTCGAGGACAGGGCTCAGGACGACGACGCCGGCGGTGGGGATCGGTATCGTCAGTGGTTGCCGTGGTGGAGAAGATGGTGACGGCGGGGCGGAGATCGTTCGATGGGGGCGGGTTGATTTGCTGTCCGTCTTGTATCCGCCACGACCTACTACATTTTCTTCCGGCGCAGGTGGGGGTTGGTACGAGGAACAGTCAGCGCGCTCATTAGACCTCATCTTGTCGTGCGTCCCTGCCAGCTGTCGGTGCTGCTGCCGCTACATCGCCTATGGTATCAAAGTGCGATTTCAGTTTCTACATTATTCGTTGTTAGTCCGACAACTCAGTGGTGTGCAAGTGCTCCGCGTGAACAGCTTCAACAATCCAGAGTACACGTCATCCCACGGAAGCAAGCATACTCACCACACAAAAAGCGGTTTCCAGACAGCCGGGATAAAACGGATCGAGACAACCAACCAGTGCAAAGAAGAAAACGAGTAAACACCCCCTCTCTACGATGCAGAAGCACTGTTGCCCGCCCCTCCTCCACCAACCATGTGACAACACGCACCAACAAACGGTTGTCGACGCACGCAGGCACATCGCCTTCGGGTGCGAACCCTGACCCCAACACAGAGACGTCCATGTGGGTTCCTCGAGACGCGGCGGGACTGTGCAGGCGATTCGTTCGCGATTTCGACGGCTACAGGTAGGTGTGCGCACGGGCGCACGCACGCGTGTGAGGGGCGACGAGATGCTTGTGGCGAAAACATTTACCCGAGGCTATACCGAGCCTCGAGAGGTATATTGTGCAGAACAGGTGGGGAATACTGCGATCGGCGACAGAAGGTCAGAATGATGAAAACGTTGGCGTCACGGTGACGGCTTCGACCCCTCGTCCAGAAAAAATATATGAAGAGTGTCCCTTTCTGGTGGGCTCACGCTGAGCAATGTCAAACCAGAGGTTGGTAGACTGACGTAGAGTTCAACGGACAGTACTAGGAGGGTGAAATGGTACCGCGCGGTACCGCGCTGCTTTCGAACAATCGCGTGCTCTTCGACAGTGTGTTCCTCCTCAGCATGCTTGTCGACGAAGAATCCATCCGCTCGCTGCCGAGAGGTCGTGATCCCCACCCGTTGACAGCCGCCTTTTCATTCCCTTCTCCGAACACACCACGCGCGTGGCATCCTGTTTCTCCCTACCTCGCTTGGTTGGGACTCGACAGTGGGCTACCGTTGGATGCCGAACAGCACCGTCTGCTCTGGGGTCTACTGCTCGGGCTGAACGCATGTTGGAGGTTGAGGTACACGCGAAGGCGTCGGCCAACGTATACCTTGGAGGCGCGCTGCGGCGAATTACCTCTCCGGAGAATAGAGGATGCGCTTTGTGTCTTCTTCGTTGCTAGCTTTGTCGTCGGCTATTCAAACTCGTATTCGGGTTGATACGGCCCTAGAAACGGGTCGTATGAATGGTGGGGTGGGTGAATCCACGGGCGTGAGACACACGGTGTGGCGCACTACAGTTTTGTGTCATGTTTTTATTTACAAGACCAAAGTCACAGCTTTTTCCGGTAGTGTGCTCGATGTTCAAAAGGCTGTCTCAAACGGCAGTACTTCCGTGGTTGATTGTGGTTGGTGCTCTCGAAAGTAACTGCGGGCGAGATTCCCGCAAGCCTGTTCCACCATGTAGCGCCCACCTACCAAGCAATATTCGAATCCCTCGTTATTAATCTTGAAGTTGTTGCCTTACGTGAAGGGGACAACAACAACAACATCTGTGTCGCACCTATGTAGGCATAAACGAACGAGACGACCCATACTCCCCCCACATAGCCTACAGTCATGCTTGACCCAGGTGGCACGCACCAGTTTCCTGCTCACTAATCACATCTTGTGTGCCTTGTCGACTGCCGGGGTGACTGTTCCGCGTGGTTTGGTGTGGCGCGGCGTGGCACGGAAGCGAGAGAAGGCATGTCGAGAGACTGAGGACGAGGTATCGCGCCGAGCTGGCGGCGGCTCACAGACGGCTCCACATGCGCAAGCCCTTGGAGGAAGTCGTCGGCGAACGGGCGGCAGAACGCCGTCGGCCATCACAACCACTCACCACCTACTCCAACGTGGCTGCCGCCGGTGTTCTCGCAGCGAAGACCGCGGCCGGCGGCCATGGCCGGGCGCCGACACAGTGGGGTGCGGATGGCAGGAGGATACGCAAACGGGGCGAAGAAATCGGGCGGAGGAGCGGCACCGCTTGCGCGACTGCGTGCAGCCGAAACTGCATGAGCTTTACCACCATCAGCAGCGGCAGACCGCAGCCGGACAAGGCGGTGGGGACGAGGCTGAAAAGGACGAAGGGCCGCGGCTGCAGAAGAAGGGCGGTGGTTGGCAAGTGTCAGCGGAGAAGCAAAGTTGGTGGTGGTGACGGCATGGCATCGAGCGCCACGTTGAGCGCATCGAACGCATCCGCTGGTGCCGGAGGGATTGATGAAGTCCTTCGTGCTGCTGCTCCCGTGGGGTCGGTAGGGAGAGAGCGGTATGCGCCGGACGGCGCTGCCGCTACCGCCGCTGCCGCTGCCGCCGTCACAGTTGCCGAGGCTGATGCGGTTGCCAAGAATAGGAGCGACGGGACCGAGTGTGCGTGGAGAACGTCTTCCGCAGACAAAGGTGCTAGCAGCCATCCAGCCCGGTACAGGGATTTCTTTGACCAGTACGAGGACGCGCTGCTTGCGGAAGACCGTCCGCACAGAGACATCGAAGAGACGGTGATGACTGACCAGCACGCACGCACGACGTCGGCAGAAGGAGAAGAAGAGCGTCACAGGGGCGAGACTACGGCTTGCAGCGGGGCGACATCCTCCGTGTCGCCGCGCGAGGCGGGTGCAGGAAGTGAAAGACGAAGAGGAGGAGACGAGCGACAAAAACAAGGAACGGGAGGGCCTGGAGCAGAGGGCGGAGGGGCGAGACATATTGAGCAGCAGCAGCGGACTTCGTCTGGCTTCAGTCGACGAGAGGCGCCGCCACCGGCGACGCTAGCGTCGTTTCACACTCGAACCCGACTGGGCCACGACTCTCTTCTTCCTCCTGCCCCCCCAACATCGACCCGTACCGTGGGCAGAGGCATGGCCCAGCTTTCGTAGTGGATGTTAGTAGTATCTCCGCGGCGGCGAAGGATGGTCGTGTGTTTTAGATTTAGAGCCCAAGGGTCAAGCGCGGAACACATCGACCTTGTTGTCAAAACCAAACGCCGGGAGTTTTGGGGGTGGGGGGTGGGGGGGCTTCCCAATGAAGGAACTCCTGCGGCGGGCGCCTTCAATCTAGTACAGGGCAAACGTTTGCCACATGCCTTTACGCCTTACTTTGTCCAGAAACAGAGCTGAGAACATTGATCCCGCTGGCAGTCCGCCAGTCAGCCAGTAGTATGGCTTAAACAAACAAGGCTTTTCATGACGACGAGGCAGCCATAACTGCTGCAAGTGCCCAACTCCATTTCGGCCAGCGGGTACTCGCTAGAACTACACGGCGCGTTCATGATGCCTGCTGAAACCGGGGCCTCAGCCAGGTCGATGATGGCCAATGAGGAACATGCCTTGACCACACACGGGGTGAACTATGACACATTCCCCTTGTCTTCGAGGTTGCGACATTGGATGCACGATCATAACAGCCCAAGAGGAAAATTCTCGTGTGCACACGGATTGATAGATTTTCTGCTTCTGTTGAGCCTATGCGACAGAGTACTACAAAACAACGGCGTTCATTGAACAAGCACACACCAGGCATCAGTCAACCCCCAATCTGCCCACGCCACCCTTCTCCTCAGCAAAGCCCAGCCCAGTTTCGACTCACACCAGCACACGCTAAAAACCGGCAAGGCGGCATAACGCAAATCATCGCGGTGAACTAAAAAAAAAAACGAAAAAGAAGATTGGTTCGTTCGTCAAGGCGAATGTTATCACATCCTCCTCTGGGAACAGCGATTCACAGCAACGTAGGTAATGCTTCAGAGCGGCAGCAAGAGTGCACCGAGCTCTTGGTCCGAGCACCTCAAAAGAACAACCAACGGATGTTACTCCTTCGCGCACAATCTCTCGCGCAGGTCCTCGCGTTTCGCTCGCAGGGCAAACGAACACTATGGGGCGGTCGATCGCGGTCTTGCACTGCTGTGAGGTGCAGAGGGTCGCTACGACAAAAACGAAAGATCGGTCGACAGAAACGTGAGGTGACACAGCAGCAGCAGCAGCAGGGCTGGAAAAAGGAAGGCGAGGACCAAACCCCGCCCCCGCCAGAATGCAAGCGTCCTTTATTTAGCAAAGTGAAACGACGGCTAACACTCCCGATGACCGAACACCGCTATGCATACAAGACGCTCAAAAACACTTCGCGACCCTGCACGCCCCTTCTTCGATGCCCCCCCTTTTCGTTCCGGCTGGTTGCGACCGGCCCGCGCTTGGAACCATGCTGCCAGCCCCCTGCTCTCCGTCCTGCCTGTGGCCTCGTTTGCCTTTTCCCAGCTCTCTCCAGCCCCGTCTCTCTCGCCCCGAGGTCGCAACAACGAGCGACCAAGAACAAGCATCTCCTTTTACTCTACATGCTCCGAGGAGGCGCCCTGCTTTTGTCACTGCCTGTCCTGCTAGCGCGAGGAAGGGACAACGCGGCGGCGACAGGAGAGGCATTGTTCTCTTAAGGATGAGCCCAATCAAACACTCGAAGGCAGTGTTGGATATTGGTCGGGCAGAAGGGTTCGATACAATACGCCCATCGTATCGAGAAAAAAACACAAATACCGATATTTTGTTCGATATCCCGAAAATGGCTCGATGCGTATCGAGTATCGATACTCGAGATATCGATACGGCTGTTTTGAAACCCTCAGGTTACAAGAAGAGCGAGCGTTACGCATCTACACGTACCCTGGCACACCCAAACCCTTATCTGAAGTATACAGCAGTGCGCAAGACGTGCGCGCATGGTCCGGCGGCATGGAAGTAGTGGTGTTTGCCAGGTGCCAGGTGTGTGCAGTTGAACATCACGAGCTCAACAACAGCGGGCACACGTTGTGATGTGATGTTGCGCATACAAAACTGCATCGTGCAAAATTTATGTCCACCAGATATATTTTACATTTTACAGTCAGTGTGCATGTGTGTATAGTGTATACACGTACGTACACACTATAACACCGCCGTACGGTTGCGATCGAATCAGTGCAAGCTCGGCTGCGAGCAGGATTTCATGACAAAAAAACGCGGAAAAAACTCGAACACTTGGTTCTATATTATCTTACTACCTTCAAAGTTATGCATGCAAAATTCCACCCACCAGTTGTGGGTGCCCAACAATCAGCAATGCACCTCGAGCGAGTATCAACTCTAGACACCCAACAGCCAAAAGGAAACAAAAGGAAAAACATGGCGAAAACATTATGAGCGAAAATCAAACGCTTGCCAAACTTGAACACGACATCACCTCTCTCTCTCTCTATTCATCACACGCCCAAGTGGTCGGACATGAAATCAAGCACACCTTGCCATTACGTATTACAAGTCCCAAAACCAAGTTCACACAGCATCAATTGTCCGCAGGAGGTACGGCCTCTGTTCGCACTAATGTAGTAGCTCTACTGCTGAAACTGCGGGAAACGCCAAACCTACGTAAGGAGGCAAGCTGACTCTAACTAACGGGGATGACTGCTACTCATTCGGCAGAGGCAGCGCTATCGCCGGCGACAAAGCCGAATTCTTGAAGGCTCATGTTGCACACCGATGTGGTTCTCAGGAGCTGAGACACAGGCGCTGTTGGTGTGGTGTGTGGCTGGCAGGGGCTGGTGTGTGTGTGGTGTGTGGTTGTGATGGCAGTGGGGGGCGACAGGAGGAGGAGGAGGCGCGTAGGCGCCGGAGCGAAAAAAGGGGGTAGACAGCTGGGAAACTGACCCCCCCCCCGGTAAAAAGGGGGCCAAAATATCGAATATCGAATACCGATATCGATACCGATACCGATTCGTATCGACAAATATCGGCGTGGAAACCGGCAATACCGATACTGCGTATCGTCGATATATATCAGTTTTGTATCGATATTCGATACCCAATATCCAACACTGCTCGAAGGACTTCCAACACAAAGCCTTCGACTACGGTAAAAGCATGTCAAACGGGCGGTCTCTGTGACTGTAAGTTAGTATGTTCTACAAAACAACGCAACTTGTTTCATGTCCCGACGATGGCTAAAAGCAGAGCATCTTCATCGGTGGATGGGTCACGCCACAGAACACCTAGCCAGGCACAGATGATTCGTAAAAGGGGGTGTGGTGGCGAATAGGGACGGCGTCACCGGCTCTTTCGAGAGACACCTCGACGGCAGCTTCACGTTTACAGTACCCGACAAGTGGCCAACGCCCACTCGACGCTGGATAGGATACAGCCGCTCCTTATCAGTACCCGAAGTGGTGCAGAATCCCCGATAAAATACTTGTACACTCAAGCATCGCGTTGTGACCATCTTCGGGTATTTCCCTCTGCGCTAGAAAACAAACTAACCAGGTGCTGACTACATGCACAGCACCCAAAAACCTGGGGCTAACACAACCACGCCGCGTGTCTCGCCGGGACAAGCAATACACAGCAACCAGGACCCATGCATAAAGACAGCACGACACTTTGGCAGCGCTCATGGCGCCCCGCCACAGAGCAAATAGGCGAAAAAAACAAAGGCAGAAAGAACAAATCTCCACCCTGACCCCCGCCCAAAAACATTCCGCCGAACGCTTCATATCATACTCCACGCGTCGCAGCACCAACCTGCTGTTGCATGTTGTCGCGCCTTCCGCCCGGCGGTGGCGGGGGGGGTGGCCCGCGTCCCATCCCGCCCCCCCCGCCTTGCTGCTGCTGAGGGAACCCCCTCGGCGGCCCACCTCCCATGCCCTGCTGCTGATGCGGTGGCGGCGGCGGCATCATTCCGGAGCCGCCGCCGCCGCCGCCGCCGCCGCCAATGCCCTGGTAACCAGGCCCCATATCCCTACCGCCGCCACCCCCCGCCTCTTTCCGCCG